AACGTCAGCACTGGTTTACATCCGAAGCCCTGGCCGTGCAGTGATAAGCGGGCTAATGCCCTAGTCAGGCCCCAGTGCCAAAGGCTCGCACAGACACAAAAGCCACTGGGATTTTCACCCGCACCAGATCCCGATGTGCTGCTGTCTCTGAGAATTTAAATCAAAGTAGCCTAAAGCATATGAAGGACATGGCTAATGCTGCATCAGCGTCAGAGCTGCAGGCACGAGACAACTTTGTTGCTTACTTCAAACTGAGCCTCAGTTCTGGCTCGGCTACTCGGGCTCCTTTCATTGTCCTGGAAGAAGGCAACCCGACGGGATTCTGAGAAAGACAGAGGCATGGCTTGATAAAACCCTATTCTCTCTTCTGCATCCTTCGGTTTTTAATTGGCCAGTTTCAGTTTTCAACGCCTCTAGACAGCAAAAGAGCCTGATGGTCTATTATCACAACAGTTGATTATGTGATGGTGGGAATTGTAAACAAGAAAAAGCAGGTGGTTTTAAGCAGCATTTCTAAACTTCCGTCAATGACAGTTTTCTAAGAAACTGCAGATGTGCCTTTTGTATATATCATCGGATTAAACAAATGGAAGGTCCTAAGCCATCCCTTCTACTCGGTAACCACATCCTTCCCTTGAACATGGTCAACAGGCATGTAAATGAACTGGAAAAATATTCCCAATATGCACAACCGCAGGACCTGTGCTAAGTCTGTGTGTATAGTGGCAGCACACTTATGTTTGCCACTGCATTGTGGTCGCCTGCAGGCTATGCTTTTCTGTGGTCTGATTGTAGGTAAAGTGAGGGCAGAAGACTGCATCTTCCTTGTTTTTCTGTCACCGATAGTTCTCGGCTATGTGTTCCTGTACCAGGTTTTCAGGAAATGATTGCTGAATTGAATGAAACAAGGCCTAAAGTAAAATCTTGAGGCAATCGAAGGGCAGCCAATTATATGTAAGCACCAGTGAGTAACTTCCAGTAAGCTCTGGTTTGCCAGTTTACTCCATTATGCAGTTGAAGAAACATTTGTTCTTGAAGTCACCTCTGTTTTAAAGACAACAAACAAACCAAGCTCTGTTAACAAAATAGTAAATTCTTATAACAGACCACTGGATTTCCTCTGGACACAACTTCTTCATGTAAGTCTCATAGGGAAGCACGGGAAGGAGGGAGGAGGATGCAGAGGAGAGGAATCATGAGTCACGTGAGGTGGAAAGCAATCAAAAAGTTTACCTGCAGAATTTGCTATGGACACCGTCATGCCTCCACACAGGCCTAGAAGCCTGGGGGAAGTATTCAAGGGCCTGAGAGACTAACTAGTTCTTTTTAATAGCACATTTTCACCAGTCTGTGACAGTGTCATTTCCATGCCTATGGCAGAAAAAAAATTGAGCAGAAAATTGTTGAATCTGGCTAGCTGAGCAGGCAAGACATAGCCCAAGTTAATGGAATGATTTATTTAGTCTGGGTGAATAGGCAACACTCAACAGTTCACACAGAAATGATTCTGATCATTATCGAATGCCCATTTCAATGGAAGTTGCATCAATACCAGCACAACGAAAGTTACTTAGATTTCAGAAGGCTGCCTTCCAGGATCGGTGTTGGCCCTCAGTGATGGGCTGACCAGCACAGGTTCTTGCCATCCCTTCATCCATGTTGACTCAGCTGGAAATTCTTAGTTCTTCATAATTTGGAGGTTGTCATAAAGAACTCTCTGGAACTAGTTAGAATGCGAGATAGGTTTTCTGGTACAAGAAGTCTCTGGGAAAATGTGAAGTGCTACCATATGGTGCTATTGTCTTTTTTACAATAAAATAAAAAAAACTTTAGAGTATTCTGTTTTATTTATTACATAAACTGAACTTCAGGCAAATAAGAAAAAAATTAATAGCTTGAAATGCTTTTAAACAGCTGGAATTCCAGTGGTTGGTACAATAAGAGAGAACTTATGCAAGACTGTGCAATATAATATCAGTGTGAACACAGATAAATAACACAATGAGAAAGTGTGTGTCTTATATTGCTCCAAAGGCTCCTTAAAATGAGAAAAAATATTCTCTAATAATCCAAACTCTTTCATTCAGTTTAGGAAATGTTTAAGACCCTTTCTGAAAAGGTACTGGCTTTAGACCCTGTGTAGGTATATTAGTTCCTTAGGGTGCCATGACATAGTACCACACAGTGAGTGGCTTTAGTACAACAGAAATGTATTCTGTTGTTGTTCTGGAGGCTCTGTGTTCCGAAATCAAGCCGTGCTCTCTCTGAAGAATCTAGGAGAGACTCTGTTCCACGCTGCCTTCTTAGCTTCTGATGTTGCCAGTGATCCTTGTCACTCCTTGGCTTGAATTATATCACTGGTAAGCACATGAGGCTCTCTCTGTGTGTCTACTTCTTCTTTTCTTATAAGAATACCAGTCATACTGAATTAAGGGCCCAGTGTATGACCCCATCTTAACTAACTGTACCTCCAGTGACTCTGTTTACAAACGAAGTCACATTCTGAGGTTCTGGAAAGCTCATGAATTTGGTGGGATACTATTCACCCCAATACAGGAGGCTTCTCAAATGAATACCAAATAAGTCCAGTCTTCAGGAAGATGTAGTTAGAAAACTATAAAGCAAAGCAATGTGTTTAAGTGGTAATAGATATAGATTATCATGGACATTTGGAAGAGTGAGTGATTGGTTGGGACTACAAGGGAGTCATGGAGGGCTTTAGTGGCAGACCTGAAAGACGACTAGTATCACAGAAGCAGGACTGAAGGACTAGCTACCAGCTGGAAACAGGGAAGCCCAAGCATTCAGCTCAAGCATTCTGGACTGAGGGGCCAGTTTGAGCAGGCAAGAGATGCAAGTGTGCATCTACTGTGTGGGATGCTTGAGACAACTGGTGTGCATGGCCAGGGGTTAACCTGGCCTTTGGGTAGTTGCCATGTGTTGTTGTGGCCACTGGGAAGGGAGAGAGAATGGAGGAGGGTTGAAGTACAGGTGAGCAGTAAGAAAGGTGATGGGGGCCCAATTGTTCAGCTCCATTAGTGACTGCTGCAGAATGGGGTCTTCAAGTAGTAGTTAAGGAGAGCTGAAATGACTGTTCTTTAAGGGCGCTCAAGGAGACCTTGCTGGACTCAGAGGAGCTGGACTTCCGTGTCCCCCATCAGCTCTCAATTTCTGTGACTCTTAGTAGAAATATCTTTTCACTAATCATATCATGCCTCTTTCACTGGTTATCATGCTTTTGCTTCCTTCCTCCTTTCTTTCTTTCTTTCATGCATCTTCCATGGGCCAGGCACTGAAGATACAATAGTGAGCGAGAAGCCAAAGGCAGCATCATTCTGTTCTCTCTCTAGCCTGTATCATTAGCACAGGAGTACGTAGCAGGTTCTTGGGACATGGTGCCTTGAACTGAGTCTGAGTGAGGAAAAACGACAAGGCAGTTTGGGCTTGGGTAGGAAGCTCTGCTTCAGAGTGGAGCTGCTTTGAAAGATGACTTCAGGAACCTCCTTATGAGGAGGTGGAGGGTAGGTGGCAGCTTACAAGTGTTTGATGTCTGAGTCATCAAAAAAGCCCCTTTGCCTCCCAAAATATCTCCTCCACCCAGGCTGTTGGTGCTTTTTAAATTCCATTATTGGAAGTTAGTTTTCCTCTGTTAAAATGCAAATGTCTTGTAAAGAGAAGTTATCCATTTATCCTCATCAGTCTTTTGCATCTTAATATGAGAGATTTTGTCAGTCTTTCCTGCATGGCAGGTTTTGGAGAAAAACACATGGAGGGAAAAGGGAACCCAGGGAGGAGAACTAGACTTGCCAAAGGTCAATTTTGTCAAGGTTGCCAGTTTGGCTGAATTGACCCTTGGTTCAGAAAAATCCATTATTATTCATTTGCTGGTATTTGTTGTAAAAGAAATGATTTTTCTTCCATTGTATGTATTGTGGCTACAAAGCTCCCCCACCCTCATCCTAACAAAAATAATTTGGGTGGACTCCTGACACTCTGTTCCTTCCTGACAAGGCTGTGCTACATGTGGTTTGTGTGCTCACATGTTGGGGAAGGCCAATGATACGGCTGCTGTCACAACTATCCCCAGAGTTTCAGTGGCCAATTTCAGAGGTTTCTCTTTTCGTTCGCATTTCCACATAATTCAGGTTCGCTGGAGGGGAGAGGGTGTTCCACAGAGTCTTTTAAGAACCTGCAGCAGGGAAGGCATGTTGCATTCCGAGAATTTGTAATTTTTCTGAGAAGACAAGATCTCAGTTTTTCTTAGCTATTTCTTGAATTTATTTTTAACTTTAAAAAAACATTTAAAATATATCTTTCTAGTTATAAAGGTAATAATTTCAGTCATAAAAATTAAGTAAACATATGCAAGTATAGCAGAAATATATACAAATATAACAAAAAATTTTCTGTAATTCCCTATCTTGACAATGAAGTGATAACCATCAGTATTGCTTTATGTCTTCCATGTGTTTCTGACCATTTTCAACATAGAACTACTTGTATACTTATGCGCAATATAATTGGAATGAAAGATTATGCAGTATGAAATAAATGCTATGCAACTTTAAAAATATTTCATATTACTTAATATGAAATATTACACGACCCTTAAAATTGTTTTAAAATAACCCATGACATGGGAAAATGCTCATGTATATTTGTGTACTTGTGTATAATATAATTAGGTTAAAATTCTAATTTTATTTGGCTTGTTTCATTTTTTTTTCTTTGTAATGGAAGTAGGCAAAAAGTTCATAGAAATCTCCTCCCCTACACCTTGGAATAAAATTCTAATTTGATTGTGAATACATACACAAATATATATGAGCATTTTTCCATAACATGACTTATGTTAAAGCAATTTTCTAAGGGTTTCGTAACACTGCATCTCGTGGAAAATCACTATGCTGAAGGAAACAGCCTGGTGAGGGGAGAGAAGGGGGCGTGAAGGAGTGGTGTCTTTGGTTCTTGGCCTTGACCCTGTGCTCCTCTTCTCCCAGGGCATCAGCAGCCTGTTCAGCTCTCTGAAAGTCGTCCGGCTGCTCCGTTTGGGGCGAGTGGCCCGTAAACTGGACCATTACATTGAATACGGAGCTGCTGTGCTGGTCCTCCTGGTGTGTGTGTTCGGGCTGGCTGCTCACTGGATGGCCTGCATTTGGTACAGCATCGGGGACTATGAGATCTTCGATGAGGACACCAAGACCATCCGTAACAATAGCTGGCTCTACCAGCTGGCAATGGACATTGGCACCCCTTACCAGTTTAATGGGTCCGGCTCAGGGAAGTGGGAAGGTGGTCCCAGCAAGAATTCTGTCTATATCTCCTCGTTGTATTTCACCATGACCAGCCTCACCAGTGTGGGCTTTGGAAACATCGCCCCATCCACAGACATTGAGAAGATCTTTGCAGTAGCCATCATGATGATCGGCTGTAAGTACCGAGGGCTGGGGAGGGAGGCATCTGTTGGTCATCCCTTCTCTGAGGGGTGGAAATAGGGTAGTGGCTACCATGCCTGCAGGATCAGGGGTGTAAAAACTGAAAATGTGAGAGTTTTTTTTAAAGATCAGCTTTACAATTTTCCCGATAATTAAAAAAAGTACATGTTTATTGCAAAGACACTTAGGAAACACTAAAAAGCACAAAGTAGAAAAGAAAGGCCATCCATCTCCCTGTCAGAGGTAACTATCATTACCTTTTGGTCCCTCCTTTAAAGATTACTTTCTATCCATAGCTGAACACATAGAGATAGATTTTTATAAAGTTAAATGTGTATGCTACACATCCAATTTGGTAAACTGCTTGTTCATAAAACGGTAAATTATGGAAGCCTTTCAAGGTCAATTTAAGCTCAGTTCTGGATCTGCACAGTCCAGTATGGCACAGAAGGAGAGAGTAGAAAAAGAGAATGTGGAATGTCTCATTAATTAACTTTCATATTGATTATGCATTAAGCAATAATATTTTTGATATAGTGGGTTAAATAAAATATTCTATTACAATCGATTTCATATTTCTTTTTGCCTATTTAATGTGGCTCCTAGGAGAATCTTACACTTTATTTCTGTCGGACAGAGCTGATCTAGGTCAGTATTGTTGATGTCTGCTTGATGGTTAAGGGATGTTCCAAGTCCGAAGACATCTAAACCCAAAATAAACAATGCAAAAAAAGGCTTTTGTTCAGTTGAAAAGTAATAGGTTATTGGATTAACTTGATTGGACTGAAAAACAAAAACTACCCTAGTTCTTGAGGAAGGTACTAAAATCTCAATAACTTACCCACTGACCATTGAGGAACTTAGGCTGGAAACAATGAGCCAACTTCACTAAAGGGACCCATAGGGGAGGAGTGGGGCCCAACAGGGCTGGAGAAAGCACATGAACTTGAGTGCATTGGACTCATGGTAAACCTGCCAAGTACACATCCGTGACAAATTGTAAAATGGGAGAGGGCAGTCCTCTCATGAAGCATCAGTTTGGATAGTAGTCTGGTCTCACGTGACAAAGCTGGATTCTGAGTCTAGCAGGCAGAAACCCTTTTGCTTGGTGTAGTCCTCGGGGCGGAGTTGACGCATTTCTTGTTCTACCAATCAGGGAATTCTAAGACCAGGGAAACCCGAGGCTTCAGTTTGTCTTTCTTCGTCCAACCCGGCAGAGATCTCGCGCCCTCCTGTGTGGTTGGATTTCACCCCTAACAGTCACACTTGCAGCCAGCTTCCTCCTTTTGGGCAAGCATGTCATCATGCTTGATGCAGTCCCATGGCAAAAGTGCACTGGTCAAGGCACAGAGCTCTCCTCTGAGTATTTATTCAATGTGTCTAAGGGGTCATTGGTTCATGGGAAGTGTGTACTGATGGAGCATTTGGGTTTGCTTCTTTAAAATGGGTGTTAATAGAGATGATTGCCTGACCATGGGAGAGAGCATTAAGTGTCTGTGGGTTGCTAATTGCTTTAGCTTAATTAGAACTTGAGGTGCTTTCTTGTGTTGTGTAAAAGGACTTAAGACCTTTGCTCTTCTAGAACGATTTCAGCCTTAAAAGCACCAGTTTTCTAGGCAATGCTTGCAGCAGTTTTGCGAGTTTGGGGTCATCCACTAATCAACCAGACACTGTGTGCTCAGGCCACACTTTCTGTCCCTTAGAGAGAGAGATGAGACACTCTGCCAATTGAAATATCTCATAATATCCATTACAGAAAATTTGTTAAGAGTTGGTTATAAAATGAGCCCCATTTCATGGGCTCCCCAAAGATTTTCAAATGAGAGTTCCTTGCAACTTTTTACCTGGCATGAAAGAAAAAAGAAAATAGTTCTGGTGGGCCTATAATAAAGATAGGCGGTGTGTTTTTCCGAAACCATTCTTCCACAGAGAGCAACTTCTCTCCCTCAACGTTAACAAGCCAGCAGTTCTGCACTGGAAACTTTTCGTGTGCTTGTTTATCATTGTTTTCATTTAAGAACAAGATTATGGTACAGACTTGGGGGACCAGGTGTTCCAGAAACCAGCCATTTCTCAGCAGCTTGTCACAGTTATGGCTGTTCTACTTTCCACATGACATGTCTGACGAATTCTTGTACAAACAGCAAAGTCATTGTACTCTGCATAATGTGGTAGCAATCATCCTTGTAAACTCACAATCAGTCCAAACAGCCTTTGTTTGGGACCAGGGCTGATGTCTTACTAGATTTGCGGGGTCCCTTTTGTCTTGCTGTGCCTGTGTGTGGACGTGTGCATACCTATGTCCTTACTGCACGGCTCACGGGATTGGACTGGCCCCAGAATCGGCATCTCTGGCCATCTCCCCGTCACCCTGGCAGTCAGGCCTTAATGGACTTGGAGAGGCACGAAGCCAGTTTGCTTTTGAATTACTGGTCGTATTTGGTGATGTTTTTCCTCTTTGCATTGAATTTCACGTGTGTTGGTAATATTATTTCTTGGCTATTCTGTTGAAGTGTATCAGCCATAATGTAGGTTATCCAGAACCCTCCTGTTGCTCCTCCTCTCTGCCCTCCGGCACTGAATATCTCATTATTACTTGGCTAATTCCCCAGAGGGTGTGAGGAAGCAGGAAAACGAAGTATTTTCAATTTTTCATATCTTTCTGAGGTGGAAAGTACTGGCTAAAATGAGTTTTTGTGATTAGCTATGGGTGTTGGCAATCCACAGTGTCTCCAAATGCCTGGTTTTATGTCTAACTTCCATTCTGGGGTCTTGTCCTGGGTTAGGGACAAGCCAGCCCCTGCTTGATCTCCCTGCCCTCGTGGGGTCTCCAGTGGTCTCCAGAGTCCCCTGCGAGTGGACCCCTTACATCTTTTTGCACATTTCCTGTGTGTTGCTGATGCTGAGTGAATCACAAGGCCACTCTTGCCCTCTGTGTGACACCGGGGAGAGGATGTCCCCCTTTTTAAAAGGCACATACTGAAGGCCTCCCCAACAGACCCTTACTATGTGCTAAGGACTTGGAGACTACCACTGTGGGAGGTGTTCTCGGGGCATCTGTGGTCTGATGGTGGTGGGGTCTGTGGGAAGGGCAGAGACAGGCCCTGCCCCCCGCCAGCCTCCCCGGGCCCATGGGGAACCCTCACAGAAGGAGGGACTGTCAGGGGGGACAGTTCCTGTGTCTGGGAGGTCTCGGCCTCAGGTTGGGGACACGACCCTGTCTTGGGGAGCTCTGCAGGGAGAATTTCATGGTGGAGAGACATTTTCACTTTTTAAAAATAAGCTTTGCACTTCTCTGATTCCCTCTTCATAATGTCACTGCTGTCATCCTGTCATAATAATTAAGCCCCATTGATTTTCTTTCTCTCTGACAGTGGCAGGGAGTCTAGACACTGCGCTCCTACTCCAGACGCCCCCCAAACACTGAGCATCTGGTCGTCTACCTCGGCACTGCATGACACCTGCCTCTTTGAACTCATGTTTTTTCTCCCCAGTCCCTCCCACCTCAGCTCCTTCACATCAGAGCAGGATGTCAGTTCTGAAGGGACCCTTGGCATCTCTGTAGCCCAGAAGAACCCGTCATCTTGTCCTTCTGCTGGGCCAGATCTCATTCTGATCAATGCTTCAGTCAGCCCCCCGCCCCATCTCAGGCCTGGGAGCTCCGAGAGTAGTGGGCCCACCCCTTGTGGTTTGCTTGCATCATCTTCTCTCCTGCGGGAGAGGGACACTAGCGACCCGTGCCCCTGGGCCTTTGACCGCGCTCCCTCACCTACTAGGAGTATGGTTTGTCGTTTCCCTTCCACTTAGATTATTTCCAAGCCGCTATGAACTTCTCTCCGCTTCCTCCATGATCTTATTTAAACATTTCTCATTTCTTTTCATTCACTTTTGCTGAATATGCCTTTTTGCATTCCATACCAATATACTGGATTTTCAAAAATGATACGGGGCGCATCTTCCAGGAGGTGGTAAAGATACCCTTAGGAGACCTTAGACACGTGGTAGCTGCTTGATACATATTTATGGACTTGTTGAAGCCGAACAATTGAGAAGGTGCTGGAGTTCTGGAGTGGCCTGCACCGTTACTGGCTGCACTTCTTTTATTTGTTAGGATATGGCGTTCTGCTGCTGGGCAGAGACAGAGAGTAATAGTAGCATCAACGCGGCATATGTTTCCTGCAAGTTTAGGGTTGGTCTGGCTGCCCTGCAGTCCTCAGAGATGCAGGCTTCTTGCTGTCTTCAGCGCGTGACTTCCATATCTGGATCCAATGTGGCTGTTCCTGGTTCAGCCATATGCTCTTTTTCCAGAAAGCAGGAGGAAAGGGAAGGGGAAGGCTGGCTGAATTCTTTCCTCTTGAGAACAAGGCTAGGAAATTACCTTCTTACCTTTATTCATATCACATTGACTAGAACTTGGTAGCCTGAACCTAGCTGCAGAGGATACTGGGAAATCTAGTCTTTATTCTGGGTGGTCACATGCTCAGGTCATGTTCAGGGTTTGTAGTGCAGAGCTTCACACCTCTGGGGTGTTCAAACAGTGGTAGCTCTCACCTGCCCCTCCATTTCCTCTTATAGCGTATTTCTAGGACTCATCAAACAATGAGCCCTGGCTGGTGTGGCTCAGTGGATTGAGTGCTGGCCTGTGAACCAATGGGTTGCTGGTTTGATTCCCAGTCAGGGAACATGCCTGGGTTGTGGGCCAGGTCCCCAGTGGAGGGCATGTGAGAGGCAACCACGCATTGATTTTCTCTCTCCCTCTCTTTCTCCATCCCTTCCCCTCTCTAGAACTAAATAATAAATAAGTAACAAATCTTTAAAAAATGATGTTCCTCAAAATCACTGAGTGTTCTTGACTTTCAGGGAATTTGAACCTACACAAAACATCAGGCACATTGCAGCATTTAATGTGCAGGTGATTAAATATACATATATCAGGATGTGAGTTTTCCTAGATACAATGCTTCTTAAAACAATGGCCTGACTGCAAAGCAGGCT